TTTCCCCTCCTCTGATGTGAGAGGCTTCAAAACTTCTCCAGTATTTGGGCTGTGGCTAACACTTAGGTTTTGCCATCTACACCCCCATGACCCTCACCTTCCTCTTATGTTATGCATTTCAGGTGAAAGAGCTTTAACACCCTTGTACTTCCTCATTTAGCAGTAAAGACCTTCAATTTACAAAGCAATGGTGTCACTGCTACAATGCAAAATCAGAAAAAAATTTCAAAAACATCTGGACAGAGACAAGGTGGACAGTATTTGTAGCTTCTAAGCAAGATTCAAGTTGGATATTTATCTGACAAGTACAGTCATGGGTTAAAATTCACTGCAGCTGGGAGATGAGAGTATCTGAGTCAAACTAAGGTTCTTATCCCTTCACACTCACAGGTCCAATTATACCAAATGCTTGTATCTCTCCTCTGCAAATGGAGGAAGCATATATCCAAAACCAATCCTTTCAGAAGTGTCACGGACTACTCCATTTCCATTTTTCCTTTTCCTCTTTTCAGTTGGGAATCAGACCACACACATGTTTAACAATTTGCAGTGTCCACGAACAGTATTCATATTCTTTAACCAAAGCCAGACAAAATTACCACAGAACATCACAGGCCCAGCCATTAAAGGCAAAGAAGGTTGTCCTTACTACCTTCTGGGATCGTGGAGGTCTTCAAGTGAACAAGAGAGCAGCATGGAGAAGTCAAGACTGCTCTGCCATTTAGGTGTACAAGACACAAGACTATCTCTTGAAGACAGAAGCACAATGAAAAAGCAGGTGGGACTTTTCATAAATGGAAAATAGTATGCTCTATATTTGGCCCATGTCTGAACTCCAGGACTGACAGACTTAAAGCCAAATTCACCCGAAAAAGAGGGATAGTGCTAGCTTCCATTCCCCTCCAGCCACAGGAGCAGCAGCAGCAGTAAATTCCCTAGCTTGTTTCATCAAACCTGGTGACACAGGTATTTCACTCACTGACCAGGGGTCAAATGACATGGCTATCCCCGAAGTGTAACCAAGTTTCATGTTTTTTCATCTACTGGGGACAAGCAAAATCCATCAGAAGATTATAAGATGCAAATCCAAACGCTAAATCATCAAACCACAAGTCTGAAGTTGCTAAGGCTCTTCAAATACTACCCAATTAGGGTGTGATCTTTGGCTAAGATGTTCCACTTCTGTTCCTTCTGTAGGTGCACAGTGACAGCCGGGGTTGGATTTCCTTCTCATCTGTATCACTGGCCAGGCACAGGACATACACCATTTCATATGACATTTTTGTACAGAATCACACAAGTGCACAGGCTGGTCACACTGGAAAGACACCACCCCTAGAACGATGTGTTGTGGCTAGTTTTCAGTAAAGTAGTGGACATCCTCACAGGTCCTTGAAACCTCACAGCCTGTGCACAACCACTGTTCACATGGAGCTCTGGGACCCTCAGACACACTCAAACAGTGCTCTCACACTACCACGCTTCATCCACAGACATGTGCTGTAAATATCTATATGAGAAGCTTCCAAAAATAAATGATATTAAAGCAATGGTGCTTCTAAGAGTTTCCCTTTTTTCTTTAAAATTAATTTGTCATTTGGGGTATTTTGTTTACCTCAAATGCCTGTGGGAACCAGTATTGCTACTAACTTATCACTTATATGAGGTCCTTCCTGAAAGGAAAAGTGTATGGTGGAAACTGAAATAGGGACTCTTTCAAAAATGGATGCACATACATATAGAAAAGACAGTAAGTACATAAATATTTATTAGCCAGTCTCCTCCCCAAGACCTTGCAACAAGAGTTGCTCGACTGAGTCAGCAGAGAAGTGGACAAGTAATTTCACTGGTCAAGTGCCTATGAAAGAGGAATAATAGAGCATTATGCTACATGTGCTCAGGACAGAAAGACTCTTGGTGAAACAGGAGAATAAAAGCACAGGTAAGACAACGAGTCTGGAAGGAAGCCAATGTAATACAGCAAGGAAAGAAAAGGTGAAGAGCAGGGAAGAAAGGATAGTCTAAGTCAGCTCCTTGCCTTCACATAAATTGGCTGTATCTGATTTTTATCCTCCAGAAGTGACATCATGTGGAAGATTCTTACTAGCCTCTACGGACCCCCAGCTTGCTTTTGGGAGCCCACGACCTCTGCAGTTTTTGCCCCTGGCCAAACAACGGTCCTCCTGCACTCTTCTGGGATGAGTAAAGAAGTCAGCATCCACAGCTCATGATGCTAATACCCTACTGAAAGGCAAGTATTACATCTACCTTTACTATGCTATTATTTCAGGGTGTCTAAATATGGAGGTATCAATTATAAGTTTCATACCATCAAGCTCCTTATTGCAAAATCAAGTATAGAAATTTCAGAATTTATAATTAGCAGAAACTCCAGAAATGAGTAATTAAAAGTACCAGAATCCAAACAGGATCACCAAAAGAATTCCTGATTCCTGATTGTCTGATTACCATCACCTACCACAACTTTACATCACAAAGCACACAAAAATACGAAAAATGTAAAAAAATAGGAATAAATGAAAAATCATCCACTGATGTGAACTGCTTAATTGCAATGCTGAAAGAACATTTTGCATATTAGCAAAATACTGCTAGAATTTAAAGAAATATAATTAGAGAAATCTATATCACATGCCATAACAACAACCAGCTCTACCCTCTCTAGATTTTAACATCTTACTCCCCCACTACTTTAGGAAATACTGAAAACAATTTTTTCTCCATTCTGTAATACTGCAACTTGACAGCAAACACACCACACAGTGCCTTTTGAAACCCTGAAGATGGATTTATGTTCACCAGACTTAAAACAACCTTTTTAATGGCTACAAATCAGATAGTCTCGTAGTGGAGAGCTTTGACTGCCTTTGTGTCAGGTCTCATTCTCATGTTGCAGCAGGTACTTAAAGAGCTAGAATCATTTTTTTCCAAAGGATTTTTGATGTCCAACTCCCTTTGAAGCCTCCCTTCCTATGTATCTTTGAAAATCTGATCTTCAATTTGTTATCCAGTTTCCCTCCCCACTTGATATGACAATGCCTTCCCTCCTTCCTCCTTGAACACTCAAAGAGAAGGGCAGTAGCAGGTCTGTACTCCTTAAATGAATGAAGAGTAGCTGCTCAGAAAATAACAGTTCCTTCTCCTAGTCCTCATCTGTTCTTTTCCATTCCAGTTGCAAAAAACACCATCATGATGGGCCACAGGCTTCTGTTTCTCACTCTATGCCATCCATCAGATTTGATTTACATTCTTAAGATAAAAGTAAAGATCACTGTAGGCAGAAACTGGATGCAGTTGTCTGCCATGGAAAACAGATTTCCTACTCCTTTCAAATTTACTGATTACTCACGGCCTTTCCCCTCGAAAGGGCATCTACCAAAGCGGGCACCGTGTTGGAATAGCCACCAGCTGTCTGGTAAAACTTAATGAATGGCAATTTTATGAGCTTCTGTTGTTATTGTTCCTTTAACTCCTTCAGTATCAACCCACCATGGCAATTCACTGACAAAGGAAGATTAGAGATAAGGCAAAACTACAAACATTTTGCTCTCTACTCCAGTAATTTTTTTTTAAGAGATTTTCTGAGGCGAGTTATACAGGGCCATAACTTTTATGGTGTCCAGCACCTGCTCTTTCCTACAATAGAGGGTATGTTGTGGAAATACACTTAAAGAGAACATGAAAACCTCAAATACTGTGGTATTTATATAACCAGCATCACCTTGGCATACTAGGACTGATTTTTCTGAGTGTCTTTAGCCAGACATTTTAGTCCTCTGCATTTGATCCTGGGAAATTTCTATCTGCTCAAGGTCTGTAATTTCCTTGTTACTTCCCCATCAGTGAAGACCATGCTGCCTGGCCAAGAGATGAATTTAGCTCTATCAAAGTGAAATTAAGCACACAAAGAATTATTATATATAAGATGCACGTAGAGGTTAAATTCAGACTCAATTGCATAACTAAATCCCCATTCAGTGCTTTCAAAACTTACAGCTGAGTGTGAAGCTAAAAATATTATCTAACAAAGTGAGCTATCTTCCAACCACATCCTCTTGCAGAAAAACATCAATAGAAGACAAGTCTGAAAATGTGCGTTAGAGGAATTAATGAACATTTGTTTGAAATGCAGCCATTTCACTTTGGGACAGATTTTTTTTTTCCTTCTTTTTTCTTCCCCTCCCCTCATCTAGTGAACATATCCTGTGCTTCAGGGTATGGAAACCTGTCAAAATCACACCCATAGTCAAATCAAATTTAACATATCTTTACAAGATATTTATAACATGCAAATACCTAGAGGCCCTGCTTCTCTGTCACATGAAGATCTCATGCTAGAGAAGGAGGGCTCTTCCACCTTAGTGAGAATGTGTGCATGGCAGACTAGAATCTGGTTTCACATCTTATATTTGACATGTGAATATTCAGCAACCCAAATCTCCACTCCATGTGCAACAAACAAGCAAACCACATTGCAGCATCTAGAAAGAGGCGTTCAGTGAGCCCTTACAACCGCATCCTTACAATCAGCCACTTGTGTCTCAGCAGGATTCTGCTTCAGGAATCCCAGAAAAAATAATTTTACTTCACCCTTCATTAAAAAAATAGGAAACTTTTGCTTCATTCACTCCACTCTTTCTTAAGTCTCTTTAGCAGCTCAAGGAGCCTAACAAAACATTTTCTCAAGATAAAACAGATTAGAAGTAAAAATTCCACCTTCAGATTCTTAGGCATCTGCTTCACTCACAAATTTTGTCTCTTGGCACACATCTCATTCAGAAATAAATTATTCTATTAGTTTCTTTGAAAAAGTTTTCCTTCTTTGTCACTTAAGAGCAATCAGAGACAGGAATTTTCAAATTAGAGAGCTTAGAGCAGAACGGCCAGGCACAAGCTAATCTGTGGGGACACTTTTGGGACAAGATCCGAAATCGCATGCGGAGTGCCCACGCCTGCTGCGCCCACTGCAGCACCCAAACCTGCGGGGCTCTGTGTGCTAGGGCTGAGCAACCAGTCTGCAGTGCTGAGGAGGGTCATGTCACCTGAGGGAAAAGGGCAAACAAAAGAAAATCGTTTGGCTTCATCTCAGGAGGCAAACATGAATTGCAAGTTAGAGCTTTCTGGGTAGAATTCACTCCAAATTTTTTTAAACTGGAAAGTTCTAGCGTCAGATAAGTAAGTTACCATGGTTTAATTGACTTTCTTCAATAAAATCAACCTACCTAGAAGTTGAGATATTATTTCCAAAATTATTTTCCACCTGAGGTCAGTGCATTAATAGATAAATACAATATATACCTTGTTTCCTGACAAAGTAATATTAAGCATTTCTCAGAGTGTATGCACATAGCACTACATGTTGAACAAAAAAAGTCAGATGATGAGCACCTTTCAGTGTTTCAAGGAACACCTCCTATTTTTGTGCTACAAAAGAACCTTCAAGTTATACAGAAGGTAGAAAAGCTCATGAAGTTGCCAACAAAGGCTTCTGTGAGCTAGAGGAATTTTAATTTGAAAGGGCAATTTTATCCTGTACCAAAAGTGGTATATACCAGGTAATATGATATAAAAATATAATAACATACTTGTGTATTTTAAAGGAAGAAGACTCATTTATGGACATAAAATATTTTCCTCTCTAAACTACATGAGCACAGTAAGCACTTTATTTATCCTTTAAAAAGTTTTTGTTTTTTTTTTTTCAAACGGCTTAATATTCGATTGAAGCAATACTTTTACAGCAATAGCAAAAAGTAAGTTACACACAAGTCTGGCACAAGTTCCTGTTAATCTGATAACCCATAAACTGTCCCCACTACCAAGGACTCCAATTACAATGAATAACAGAGATATTTGGGGAATTGAGGGGGGGGACAACATCTGTTTGATTGACATGTGCCTTTCCTGGAAAAATGCAATGCATGTCCATAATCCTAAAGAGTCTGACAGCACTACTACAACCCAGTTCTTAGGAAAAAAAAACATATCTTTGCTACAACAGTTGTAGCAGTTTACCTATACATTTACACTGAAGAGCAATACTGAATCTGCATGACTCTCTTTTCTAGTATTGCATAAAGTCTCTGTTCACACAGCCAGTCAAATGTCACGTATGATCTTTCCCACTATTGCCATAGAAATGCTACAGGAAAGAGCATTTTTTGCTGCTTGTCGTATAAGCCCTTCTGTGTTTCATTATATGAATTATTATATTTATTACAGATGTATTATATTTCTGGCAAAGCTGTTAGGTTGTTCTGTTGTTAGTATTCTACTGAGAACAAACATAACTTATCAACTGCCTGACTGCTTCTTGAGAAATCGGTATCAGTTTACCCCACTGAATTACTACACCTGTTTGAATTTTGGCCACTCCATCAGAGCAGCAAGCTAGCCTGAGGAACTTTCAACACTCAGTTTTATTAGCCTACTTGACAAAATTCTCATAGCCTTAGGAGCTTGCAAAAAGTGAGAGCATAAAGAAATACCAAAATAGTAAAAAAAACCTGAAAAATTACATTTTGCACTATGGCAATTGTAAACACCTACTTTTTTCCCCTCATCATTAAACTTCCTTTTCAGTTTCTTTGACTTTTTTTAAATTTAAGCTCTGCACATACTACCTGCTCAGTCCATTCAAACTCCATGAAAGAAACATAAACCTGTAATGAAAGCTATTGCTGAAACTTGATAATAGTAACTACTGATAAACATTGAACATTGCCTTTATGTACCATATGAATAAACACAGAACACCTAGAATAGTAGAACATTATTTAGCTTGCTGACTGTAACAACGCCAAAGCAATGAGGAGGAAAAACAAATTATGCAATACTAAAGGAAAAAAAAAATAGGCTGGCTCACCTTCTGTGCCATTGGGTGTCATGGAATTATTATTTATATGGGAGTTATCAAGTTTTGGACCACTGGGGGATTCACTACTACCACTTAGTCGTCTATGTGGGCTGGCTAGATCCTGCATTTCCATAGACCTGAAAACAAGATGCAATTAGTTTTAGTGACATAAGTCAACATGAATTACAGAGGAGCTATGAGATGTAGCCTGCTATTTATCAACATCCCAGAAACACTTAGTAAAAAAATTAACTGCTTCTCCCAACTTGATCTTTTCCAGTGCTTAACTCATGTTGTAGCCCCACTCATGACTGGCCAGCTACTGTAATTATTTTTGCAGCTCGTAACTAAATAAAACTTAGATTCCAAGCACTGCACTTTACAAATGGATGTAATCTTGTATTTTTAAATATGTACAAAGATGGAATCACCAACGTATGAAGACATATATTCTCTTAAAAACAAATTAACACTCTGCTTTTTTGAGATTTACCACTCAGTGGCAATATAATGAGCCTCCAAAACAAATAAAACACTTGAAGCAATTGTGGAAACCCATCATCTACTGACAGGGAATGAGATATTCCTGATGTATGTGTTTACTCTGGCAAACTACTTAATTGTTCCTCTGTTTCCTTTGAAACAAATGCAGCATTAAAACATTATTATGTCTGCTCACTTGTTTGCTTTGTGGATTACATAAAGCGTGCCCAATTGGAAAGGGATATGAGCGACGTACAGTGAATCCATACAGGCGTTAGTGTGCCTTAGCACTCTGCTGTATCTCGGCAGCTGTCGCTTAGCCAAGATGAGAAAACAGCAATCCCCATCTCAAGCAAAAATTAAATGTTTAAGTGGCACAAAAGCAGCTGAATATTTAAGATTAGTGCTTTCAATAGCCTTATATTAACAGTCATCACCATCATGACATATCCCGTGGTTGATGTTGGGGCTTAGGACTGAGGTACCCTGTCCTTCTGCTCCTTTATACATAAAAGTTCTGATATTGTTATTTGATGTACTCATTCTAAGTAATTGCTACCAGCAGAAACTTCATAGGTTACTATGCCTCCAAGGCATTTGAACCAGTAATTTCTCAGTTTAAAAGAAATGCTTAGGCTCTTTTAAAGACTATTAAAATTATATATAAAATTACTCCTGCAGTAATGGTATAAATATCCTAAGTGTCATTTTAGGTATGAAGTTTTTGTATTTTAACCGAAATTTTATCACAGGTTCTAAACATAGATCCTTCATTCAATATTTCTTTACCTAAAACAACTTACACAAAATTAAGAAGATGATACTGCAGTGAGTTCAAAATGCCAGCATTGAATATAAACTCAAACAATTTAGTGAAAAAAGTTACATGCTTATGGTTTACAGACTTGGTTGCACATGCGTAAAAGCTACGCTCCAGCACTTAATGTGGGAAACAGGTATAAATATTTTACTTATCACTTGAAGTTAAAAAATCACCAACAATAGAAGGCTTGCAAAAAATTAGCAATTTTCAGTCAAATCCTTACCTGCAGCTTGAGGAAACAGCAACATCTGAACCGGTTTGGGACTTCTGCACCTGTAAACCAGGGAAACAAACAGAAGCTTCTATTACTCCACTTTACTATGAGGCCTTAATTTAAAGAAAGGATATCACTACGGATGACAATTCTGTCCTTTAAATCCAAAGGGAGAGGAGGAGGGCGCGCTGCCCCTGAAAGGCATATTGTCTTTAAATTGAAGGCTCAACTGTTGTTTCCCCGGCAGGTCTCTCTCCCTCCTCCCGCGCCAGGGGACGGCAGCCAAGTGACGGGATAGTGATTCATCAGGGGCCCGTGACAGCTGCACAGGGGCTCTCTCCTCCCCCGGCTCGGCTCGGCTCGGCTCGGCTCTGCCCCGCAAAGGTAACCCCGCCAAGGGCAGCGCCAGCCCCTCAGCATCCTCACTCCTCTCATCCCTCCCGTCTCCTTCCGTCTCCACGCGCTCTTGCCCTCATCATACTGCTTTTCTTCCTTTGCTCTTCGCCATCCTTCCTCTGTGCCTGGGCCACAGGGAACTCACCAGCCAAGCTCACCCCAAAGGCAAGCTGGAGAAGCTGATGTTACTTTTTTTTGGGGGGGAGGGGGTAGAGAATAACAAGGGGCACATCTACCTGTGGTAAAGACCTTCACTATATAGCCAACAACCTTACAGAAGCATCTCTAAAAGAAGCCCATCTCCAGCCAGGTCAAATTTAAATAAAAACTCCACACGCATAGTCTTACTCCTAAAAATTCCAGTTGCTAATGAGATTTTCGATAAAATTACTTAAAAGGACACCTCCAGCTAAATAAATGGGAGGAAGCTGTAGCATTTACCTCTGATGTCACTCATGAAGAAAAGGAATCTGGTTCCACCGGGAAGCTGACCAATAATTTTTTTAGTTTAACCAAATTATTCCGTTTGTAACTCAGGTGAGTAATAGCTTTCCTATTCCATCAGAAAAAACACTGTTGCTTTACTAACAAACTCTAGCCAGTAACAATTGTCAGCAGGTGATAAAATTCAGGTGGAAAGACATTGCTAGACACTGCTAGCTTGGAAGCACACGAAAGCTTCTCTGGGCAAGGTATATATCCCCTTAATGTCTGCAGTGAGGATCTTCCTTGTGCGTTTCCAGTCAACCTGAACTGACATCTCTTAAATGATCACAGAGCAAAGACAAGGGAGATGAGGCATTTTAAGTGCCATAAAAATCATCCGAGCAAATCCTACTTATGTGTCTGTAGGGTGGGTTCTCTGTTATTTTTAATCACAGACAGAATTACTACTAGCAAGAGTAAACAACTGCTAGGGGCAGTCAGGCAAGGAAGAACATTACAAATGATGTCAAGAAGCATGCAATAATGCATGCTGAAAAACATCAATCTTTTTATAACTGGGTACTTAAAGTACTGCATAACACGCTTTTCAATACATCATTGCGTGCCAAATCAAACTAGACTAGCAGATACAATCAAAACTGTGCATTTTGGTTTAAGGATTTTTTTTTCCCCTTAGTTCTTTACCCCAGAAACTGCTGCAGAGTGCCTTAGGATATGCTTCTGCTGTTACTTCTAAACACCTGGAAAAAATTATAGGTGAGAACTAAGTTTGCCTACAGAGCTATCTTCACTCCCTCTTGCACCGGATCTTTTAAAACCCATCTTTTATAATAGAAAAAACTTTCTTTTTCAAATGGATGATTTAACTAACTGATATTTTCCAACATGCACTACACAATTATTCATACTTGATTAAAATAAAAAAAAAAATGTAATCCTCACTATTTTAAGTACCAATTTTTTACAAAAATAGTAACTTCTGTACATTTGAAAAGACATACATTATATACATGCTCATGTATATGCCTAGCAAGGAAGATCTTATTTATAAGGAAGATCTCATTTATGAATTCGTGGGACAGGGCAAAAAAAAAAATATCCAGCTCATCCAAAGCAAATTAAATATATACCTAAAATGTCCTCCAACACTCCATGATTTGTGAAAGTTCATATCCACAATTTTCATTTTCATTAGACATACTTTAGATATATTCCTTTGTGTCTCAAGGATTATTTGAACCATGTGTTGCACGTTACCAAATTTAAAAATGACTCTTTAATCAAAATAACTTTAAAACAACTAATCCTCACTTAGGCTGGTCAGCTGAATCCACAGAGTGGTCCAGGAAAAATAAATCTACTCTCAAGAATGCGAATGCAGACAACAATTAGACACAGATGTGAGTGAAATTAGTTACAGTTTACAAAATGCTACACTTCACATGCTTTCAGTTTTTTATGTGCAGTACAAAATTACAACGTAGTAAGGAACCACACTTATGACGACCAGTTAGTTCATAGAATAAAAACATTTCCGGGTGGTGTGTGCTTGTGCTTTCTCTCATATATTCCCATTTTGTCAACAGGTTTCTGGATAATTGAAGTTTGGCAATATAACTCACATATCAAATAAAAAGTAGGGGAAAAAAACCCCAAATGCTTGGCCTTACCCAAACAGAAATGGGTCACTTTAAAAAAAAAAAAGGAAAAAAAAAAGGGGGGGGGGGGCTGTCACACCCCCTTCACTCAGTGCTCTGCTTAAACTACAAATGCCTCACATGCTAAATGGCATACACGTTCTTCTTAATGCCTCAAAAACATTACTCTGTATAATTTGATTTTTGTCAGTAACATTCACATCTTTCTCCTTAATACAGATTGCAGATTGGGCACTATGCAGTACATGGAGAGAAAAAAAAAAGGACAATGATAGCAAAGCTACTTAAAATTCATCCATTTAAGAATCTTAAATCAGTAACATCAAATTCTGATTAGTTAATGAGGTCTTTTAAGTTTGCCCTTTTTTCTAATTAAATTTATAATTCTTCACAGATGTAGGTTTTGTTGATGTTCAATTTGTCTCTCTCATTTTGTTAAACCTCACATAGTACTCCACCAATCCATTGAATAGCCACATTAAATCTGTTAATACCATGCTCTTCAACCCCAGAAATTATTTCCAGAAGGCAAACTTGCTTTGAGAGATCATCAAACAAGACTTAAGGTACACATTTTATCACATTTTCCCTACCACAGAGCTCAGGATGCAGAGGAAAATTCATGACTTTTGCACTGTTTATTATACTTTGCTAAATTACAAATCAAAAGCATCTGACAGAAGATCATGTATGAAGCCAAAAAGTTAATAATGTTCTGTGAAAAGTAAACTGTAAATGGGAAGAGATTCTGAATTTCAGCAGCACAGAGCAAATAAAATGTAGGTACTTGTCTAAATTACAGGTTTTCCACAGTATTTTTGCTTGCTAGGAGCAATTTTTTTAATGGCTATAATTTAAAACATTTTTCCAGCTGAAAAGAAATTTTTGAAGTGAAAATAAGAATTTAACCCAGAAAACTATAGCCAGCACACACGTTTTCTCTGAAAACACAGTTCTACTTTAAAGAAGCAAATTTCAAAGACAATGGCAGTTTTCAATTGAGGGTGTTCCTTTTTAGGAAAAAAAAAAAAAATCTGTCATTTTTAGGAAGGGGTGGAGGGAGGGAGAGAAAGGGACTTTTTTCCCAGCAGCACTCTTTACTCTAAAAGAACGATGCAGTCGGTATCTACCGACATAATGGCTTCAACAGCCAAAATGTTACAAAACTAAAATGCAAATTGGCTGCAGAAAGGCACCTTGCTGGCAACGCAGGAAACTTGGTAATACTTTCACTCTTCCAATAATCATATATCGCTGGGGTCCAAGGGAAGAGGTTGGGCTTTTGCACTAGATATTCACATCAAAGACAAATTGTACTTATTAAAGCAAAAGAAGATAATTGCAGTTATTTAATTTTTAATTACCCGTTTAAATTCTTCTAAAGTGCTATCCTGTGTGCTCATTTCATACACTCATGAATGAAACATTTTGAAACCCCAACACTTTCTTCCCTTTAAGAAAGAAGTACTACAATGTGACAATTCTTCTATTATGACCAGCCATTTAAGAATATCCTTCTTCTTTTCCAAGATTTTTTTTGGCTCCTAAGAAATATTTCGTACTTATTGCAATTCAAACAAAATGATTACTCATTCTTTTTTTTCTCCTAAGGTGAAGCATGACTCAAGCCGTCTGTCACTGCACGGAAGTGCTGAGAGGGGATGGCTGCTCATTTCCAGACCCTTCCAGGCCTTGGGAAAACTCTGACAGCAGTGAGGTGCTTGGCTAAAAACTGCATGTCATGGGTTTGGTGAGCAACATGAAAACGCTCTGTGTGTGTGTGTGTGTTTACATATCTAAAATTCTGTAATGTGCACACACACACACATATATATGTACTTTTACAGATGTGTATCCATATATACATTATTAATTTATTTGACACCTCAAACCAGTAGTCTGTGTTCTGGCAGATGCTTTGCAAACCATCTCAGTATGGGTTGGAAAATAAAATAAACTTTATACATGGTATCTAATGTTAAAAACTTCCAATGATACGCTACACCACATTTCCACTTCTTATTCCAAATTTCCCCCGGTGCTCATTTTTAAATTTAAACAAACGACATGAAACACACGATCATTTTTTTTTCCCGGAAAGCTTTTATCTCTTCCGCTTACCTTGGTTTTGAATGTTTGCTTACAGAAGAAAGAAAAAAAACACACCAAAACCCAAGCACCTCCAAAGAAACATTTTTAAGCTAACACCTTTACTTTTCCAGAATCAATCTTGCACTGTAAAGGGCAGTCCTTCCTCTTGGTGTTTGAAACACCGAGAGAATGTTTGGTGGGTCTTGGTTGCTCAAAAGCAAGATGTAAATTTAATGAGACTTCAGAAGGTCTTTAACTTCCTTGTTATAAGATCACCGTTCTAAATAAGCCACCTAAAATGTCAATAAACGTCAAATATTTCAGTTGTGTAGATGTTTATTCTGTCATCCTGAAAAGTTCTCCTGTGGGGATCTGCATGTTTTCCTTGGTGTTTGGAAAATTTAAACATATTAAGCAAAAGGATTTCCTGCTTCAGAAAGCACTGTCAAAATCTCTGTCAGGCATTC